ATCAAACTCTGGCGAATAATCCCACTTAATGCGAGACGCCCTGACTTTTAAATCGAAGGGCTCGACCTGGGTGGAGTCCCAAGCCGCCGCAGACGCCAGCGAACCAGGCACGGAAGGAGCGCTGGTCGGGCAGTGCCGCATGGGGGCGGGCACGGAAGAAGAGGAGGTGAAGGAGGCCTCCAAAGCTGCAACATGGGTGGCCAGGCCATGGAGCGAGACCTCAGTAGAGTCGAACTTGGCGAAGGCTCGACCTAAGTCGCTCTTGCCGCCACGGGCAAGGCGAACTGCGATCCGACACAACCGTTCGATACGGGTGCGGACGCCCTCCTGGCAGGGCGAGACCGTGGCGCGGACACGAGCCTCGGCGGGAGCGAGGCTAGGATGACCCAAAGTGAGCCAGTTCAACGCAATAACAGAATACTGCGCGAGCGTCCGCGCCGCGCGCCGCAATCTCCAGCGCTCCCTGCGCCTCGCCGACAAGCCGTCAGGCGGGGGACCAAGAGGTGGAGCAGGCGGGCACGGCCAAGGATCGCGGGGAGGCGGCCCCAAAAGGTACGGGTCGTCCCTGTCCATTGCACGCATTGATGAGCGGGAGAAAGATCCAAGAGAACATCGAGCACCCATCCCAACCTGGGACAGCGCTGCCGCCCAGTGGGTGATATCAATGTTCGCGCCTGGAAACAGGCGCAGCAAGGCAGACAAGTCAGCGACAAATGGCGCGACGTTGGCAAGAGCAGCAGGGGTGCTTGAAGGAGAACAAGCACCAGCAAGAACACCAACCTCAGGGGCTGCAGGCCCCATGGAGGGAGCGCTCGACTGAGGCAGGTGACGGCCAAAATGGCCGAATGGATCCGAGGGGCGGTTCGGAGCAGAGCGAGGGGCGTGGTGGCGGAACGTACTCCTCCCTGCGGGGCCGCAACAGCATCGCTGGAGGAGCGCATTCCTACCCTCACGCCCTCGCTGCGCCCAAACACGCCTAGCAGCCGTAGCAGCGTCGGTGCAGACTGTCTGCGGCGGCGTACCCCGGCCACGCGAAGGCCCCCCCTCCAAGAAGGCGGGCGCCAAGGGCATCTTCAGTCCTTCTTGGGCACCGCCTTCGGGGCCTTGGAAGCACCCTGAGACTTGAAGGGGGGCTTTGAAACCTTGGGCTGCTTGGGCTGATGAGGTGGATGCTTGGGAAGCGCGACGGCGCGCTCGGCGTCGAGGCGCGCCCGAAATGCTTGCAGCTCCTTCATGTATTCGCCCTGCGCCGACAGCCAGCGAGGATCCACCAGGGGTGAAAACGGGGTCTGGGCCTCGCGCTCCGTGTGACGACTGGTCACGCGACACGGGGGAGGCTCCAGCCCCGTGAGGAACCAAGCGGCCTCGAGGTAGCCGCGGTCCCCCGCCAACTGGTCGATGAACATGCACTGGCAAGTCAGCAAGGTCTGGACCCTCTCGGGGTTGCCCTCCTCGCAGGCCCGCCACAGCTCGGCGCTGAGGAAGGCAAAATGCGTCAACAACTCGTGCGTCGACGGCTGAGCCCCGAGGGGGCTGTGCTCGCGAAAGTACTGATGCATGGCCATGGGGGTCACGGCGCTGACTTCCACGCCCAGAACGCGGGCCAAATTCTCCTTCATCAGTCCTCGCACGTCGGGGCCGTGCTGCATCAGCGCTTGCTGCCACTCGCGCCTCCGAGCGATTCCCCCCATCTGAGCCGATGCGTGCGCGGGGTCGCCCGAGGTCGCGGGCGGAGATTGAGCTTGGTCGCTCAGGGTCCCCAGAAGCGGGTGGAAGGCTGGGCGATGGCCCCGCCCCTGCTGCAAGGAAAGGGACTGGTGCAGGCACTGAAGCATGAGGCTGAAGTCCGTCGGATTGGCCGCAAGGGGCGGCTCTAACCCGTCGGCGCCGCCCGCCTCGGCAAAGCCGTCGACCGCAGCGGGATGGGCTAGCCCAGGCGGCGGCGGGGGGCCCATCGGTCCGAAAGCGGACGAAGGGGCCCGAGGGACAGCAAGAGAGCGCGCCTTCTCCCACGCCGAGACCAGCGCGGAGGTGGGTCCCTTGGGGCGCGCGGAGACCCGATGTGGGGCCACGGGCGCGTGGGACAAGACGGCCTCGATCCCCGCAGGATCCAGCCCGAGGCGCGCCGCCTCGTCGCTGAAAAGCTGAGGCGCCTCGGGCCGAGCGCTCCGGGCAGCCGGAGCGGGGCCCAGCGGCTCGGGTCCGCCGACCATCGTGGAGGCCGCGTGGGCTGCAAGCAAGGCGCGCATTTCGGCAGCTACCTCGGCGCGGGTCATGGGAGCCCCGTCGTCCAGAGACGCCGCAGGAGCACCAGGAGCAATCGGAGCAGGACCCGCGACCCGCGGCGGCGCGGCGGCGCCAGCGCGCTTGGCGGGCGGGCCGCGCGGCGCTCCAGCGACCGCGGGGGCTCGCGCACTTGGGGCCGCGCGGTCGGCTTCCCCGTCGGCCGCGAACCCCTCGGGCTCCTCCATCTCGTCGGCAGAGTGATAGGGGGTAGCCCGATCGGCCCCTGGGAGAGGCTCTTCCCCTGCGGTAGGCGGGGCGCCGTGCAAACGAGCGTAGCCCTCGCGAAGCACCCGAACCCCCGAAGGATGCGGCCAATAGACGCGGCTGCGCACCTCGGCGAAGGGAACGATGCCTGCGTCGTCGCCGACCTCTAGAGGGTACAGCGACTCGAGCTCGAGCTCGGCAACCTCGATATCTATAACGAGGACGGATGCGGTAGTGGCGAGCGGCCGTGAAGCGGCCCCCTGGAGCTGGACGTCCACTAGCTGGAAGGGGCCTATCATCCCAGCAAAGCCATCCGCCTCGGCAGCCTCGAGCTCCGCTGTAGAGCGAAAGGCACCAGGCAGGGCCAGCAGGATGCCCCCTTCTCGAGAGGCGAGGGGGATAGCCGCCCAGCTGGTGTCGCCGTCGTCTAGGCGCCATCGTGCGTAGTCGCGCGCCGTGGGCGCAGCGAAAGGGTAGAGCTCGGGCCAAAGGGGCTCTCCGCCAATTGGTGGCAGCTCCGCCATCAATGGGCGCCGCCGTGGAAGCCGCCGCCCGCACGCTGGGCGTCTGCCCGCTCGAGCGCTTGAGGTCGAGGCGGAACCCCGTAGGCCAGCGCTCGCGCCGCACGGCGGTCCTGCTCAGGTGAAGCAGAAACCGCGCCGCGCGGCCAGGCGGAGGGCCAGAGCCTCCGCCACACGTACGGGCCCAGCAGCCCGAGGCAGCAGCCCGCGCAGGCGCTGCAGGCGGCCGTCACCCAGAGGAGGGCGGCGACCGTGCTGAGCAGCCAGGGAGAGACCCCGCCGCTCAGGTCCACCGCCAGCCCGAGGCAGACGGTGGGGCAGGTGGAACCCGCCGAAGGGAGAGGGCAGGTAGGCCCCCTCACCCTCGGACGAGTCCGCCTGCTGGATGGACCAGGCAGGCGATGGAGGCCCCTGGTCCTGAAGCACAGAGAGGGGGGCAGCCACGAGCCGCTCGTAGAGCGCGGCCCGCAGCCCCCTGAAGAAGATCTCCCCAGCGCCCTGGAGAGCCGCTTGTGCGACCGCCTGCATAAGGCGCCCGCACGCGCGGCCGACGGGGGGCACTTGGGCAGAGAAGCTGCGGAGACAGCAGGAGCTTGCTCACAGAGAATAGAAGAGGCATGATGAGAAGGAGGAGGAAGAGGAGGATAAGGAGGAGAAGAAGGAGGAGGAAGAGGAGGAGGAGGAGTAGGAGGACGATCTAAGAAGGCGGGGGAGGGGGGCGAGCCGGACCTCAACGGCCAAGAAAGGAAGCGGACGGCCAACGGCAGCGGACGAGAGAGGTCCGTCGAGGGAGAACGAGGAGGCGGAGGAGGAGGAGGAGGAGGAGGAGGAGGAGGAGGAGGAGGAGAGGAGGAGGAGGAGGAGGAGGAGGAGGAGGAGGAGGAGGAGGAGGAGGAGGAGGAGGAGGGAGAGTAGGGGATGTAGAACGGGAAGGAGGGCGAGGTTGGACAGTGGTTCGAGGACTGAGGTTTTGCGATGCTTTCGGACATTTTTTGGATTCCTGGAAAGTCCTCGTCATCACGGCCAGATCCGCCTCGACATGCCGGCCCTGCCGAAGCCCAGAAGAGATCCTGGGGCAGATCTCTGAGGCGGAGGAGGAAGACGAGGAGGCGGAGCAGACGCGTAGCAGGAGGAAGAGGAGGAGGAGGAGGAGAAGGAGGAGAAGGAGGACCAAAAATAATAAATAATAATAAGAAGAAAAAGAAACAGAAGAGGAAGAAAACATGCAGCACTGATGGGGGCGCGGGTGACTCGTGCGCGCCACGAGCCGCTGCGGGGTGGCGTTCCTCTGCATGCGATCAGCTTCATTGTGCGGAAGCAGTAGATGAGGCGAGCCGATCGCGGGCCGCGCCGAGTGCCTCGATGTGGACCTTGTACTCGTAGTGATGGAGGACGATGGAGCGAAGGGCGAGGACAGTGAGGGACGGGTGTGGAGGCGGGCTGAGCCTTGGAAGGGTTTCCCCCGTGGCCAAGCCCGACTGCCTCACAATTAAAGTCGTATTCATGTCAGCGCAATGAATGCGTAATGTGTGCCACGAACAAGTCAACGAATGATCAACATGATACGGCTTCGCATGAGTAGACGCCCTCACCTGGGGAAAAATGATAAGATAGGAATAAGAGTGGGATCACGATGACTACAATGAGTCAGAGGAGCAACAGGAGTGAGTATGGGATGTGTATGAGTGGCATGGATGATTATGAGTGTGGGTGCGCGTCTGAAGTAAAATAAGCCGCGGGAGCTGTAGAAGCGGGAGTGCCACCTAGATCAAGAAGAAGACAACGGGGAGGAGGACGAGGAAAGGGAGCAGGAAGACACGGAAGGGCACGGCGATGGGGGAGGAGGAGCCAGAAGAGGCCGAACCCGTGTAGAGGAAGAACACACGGGGGAGAGGCGTGGGGTGGACGGAGGACGAGCTCGGATCGTACCCCGCGCGACTGGGCAGCACCCCGCCCACGAGCTGCGCGGGCCGGCAGCTGCGGCAAGGCCTTGAGGTCGGCGATGGAATCCGCGTAGCGATGCTGCGCGTAGCGGGCGATGCCGCGCTGGCGGGGCGCCCCACGGCCGTGCCAAGCGGCGCGCGCCGCCCTTCGCCGCCGCCGCTCAAGCGTCCCGGGCCTCGATCCTCGGTCCTCCTCCTCCTCTGCCCCCATCTCTCTCTCTCTCTCTTTCTCTCTCGCGCGCACGCCCGCGGACCGATGTCCAGCGGCATCGTCTGGACTCGGCCCTCCCCTGCCTGCCTTCCCGCTGTCCTCGCACGTGCCCCGTCCTCTTGCCGCGCCTCCTCCGAGGAGGGGGAGGAGGGATGAAGGGCACGAGAGCGGAGAGGGGACAGGGCGTGGGAGAGGGGGAGAGGGGGGGGGGCAGGGGAGAGGGGGAGGGGTGAGGGGTGTGGAGGTAGTGGGATGGGCCATGGGGGAGAGGAGTGGGAAGGGTATCAAGGGGGGAAGAGAGAGGGGGTGGGGGAGGAGAGAGTGGGAGGGCATGGTGAGTGCAGCCTAGAACTCCTGGCTGGAGCACCCAAGAACCTTCCAGACGCCCGCAAGTCCTCCTCTGAAATATACACAGATCTTGGCCAGGCAAGATCTTTGAATGGAGGCCAAGCGTCCTGACTCCCCAGGACTGGGGTTGATTGCTGGGCGCTTGCTGAGCAGCAAAGCCCTGTTGGCTTCCTTCCCTAGGAGCCTTCGCTGAGCGGCTCCGATTGCAGGGGGTGCTTATCAAGAGGGTGGCTCCTCAGACCTCTGACCCTGGACCCAAGGCTGTGCACGGCGACAGCAAAACCGAAAACCGACCGAACCGACAACGAAACCGAAGCCGGCCGACATATCGACAGGCCGCAAGCAACCTGGAGGGGCGCAACGACGCGGCAACGGCAGAAGAGCCGACAAAAAGCCAAACCGAGCGACCGCCACCGACCGTGCCATAGCCGAGCCGACCGAACTGTGAACGCCCCAAGGGGCCCAGGATCGGTGAAGGCGCCATCTTCCTCCCAGGCAGCGGCACGGCACGAGGGCCAAGGCGGGGCCCCCGCTTGGCCCGCGGCCCCGAGCGGCGCAGGCGGACGGCACGGATCCGCCCGCCGAGGACCCCTGGGCACAGCTGGCGCCGGCCTCTCCCAGAAGGGGGGGCCGACCTCCTCCCTCCGCGGGCCTTCGCCAGCCCCGCGACAGCGCCCCCGCCGGGGGATGAGGGGCCGGCCTCCCCACCCCTCTCGGAGGAGAGGGCCCTCGTCGGGCCCATCGCCTCCGCAGCCCGGGGGGGGAAGGAGGAGGAGGAGGAGGAGGAGGAGGAGGAGGAGGAGGAGGAGGAGGAGGAGAGGAGGAGAGGAGGAGGGGAGGAGGAGGAGGAGGAGGGGGAGGAGGAGGAGGAGGAGGAGGAGGAGGAGGAGGAGGGAGGAGGAGGAAGGAGGAGGAGGAGGAGGAGGAGGAGGAAGGAGGAGGAGGAGGAGGGGGAGCCCGAGGTCCGACGTCGTGCGAGGAAGCGGCAGCGCCGCGAACAGCCTGCGCCCGACCCGCCCCCCCCATCCTTCTGCGGCGTCCCCCGCGGGGGGCGGCTCGGCCCGCGGGGGTCCCCCCAGGAGGAGGAGGAGGAGGAGGAGGAGGAGGAGGGAGGAGGAGGAGAAGGAGGAGGAGGAGGAGGAGGAGGAGGAGGAGGAGGAGGAGGAGGATGGGGGAAGCCCCGAGGGCCGACGTCGTGCGAGGGAGCGGCAGCGCCGCGAACAGCCTGCGGCCCGAGCCCCCGCCCCCCCATCCTTCTGCGGCGCCCCGCGGGGGCGGGCTCGGCCCGCGGGGGTCCCTGGCCCGACCCACGGGGCAGAGACGCCTGGCGCGATTCGAGTTGGAGATCGGCTGCAGAATCCATTTACCCCAGAGCTATCTTGGAGTCGAACACCTACGAGAAAGATGTACGGCAGGTTCGCGTCGTGTCGACCCCGGCGTTGGTTTCTGACACCGCGGGGATCGTTCAACCTTGAACGATCGGCCGTTTCCGAAACGTCCGATCGTTCAACATCGATCGATTCTGGGTCGCCGGCGGCGTTCAACCTTGAACGCCCGCGCAGGGGTCGCCGCTGGTCGACACGACGCAAACCTACCGTAGACTGTTCGTGTATGCCTGTACGACCACCCTTCGGGTGATGAGGAGGTTGGGGTGTGTGGGTGGGTGGGGGAACAAACTGCTGGCAGATGCGATGGGCGGGATGATGACGATGCTGGTGACGCGCCCTCGAGTTAGCGACGACGCGCGATGACGATGTTGCGCTGCGATGTAATGTCACTGTCGTCCCCGCTTTTCACTCAATTGATCCCACTATCGACCTCTCCGCCAGTCTAAGTACCAATGGATTCAGCGATCGATCCCACTATCAATCCCACTAGCGGTCTCACTATCGATTGCCCTATCGATCTCACTATCGATCTCACAACCAATGTCACAATCAACCTCACTGTGGGTGTCAGTTCAGATCTCACTACCCGTCCCATTGTAGCGATCTTACTATCGATTTCATTATCGACTTCACCATCGATACCAATGCGGGACACCCCGGGCCACCGCCCGCCCACCGCTGACAGAACACCGACGGGACACCAACGGAGCACCAATGAGCCACCACAGAACACCACGGCGGGTCACCCCGGGCCAAGCGCGCCCACCAGGGGCGGAGGGGCGGTCCATTGCATGCGAATCACCCCAGCGACGGCGGGGTCAGTCCTCTCGCGCGCCCACGCAGCTGCGCCTCGCCCGAACGCGCGACACGAACACGAAACCGAAACCGATTTCCCGGTGGGGGGCTCACCGCTCCACTGCGATCTCCCCCCCCAATCTCCGATCCGACGAACTTTTCAAACTTGTGGTACATCGATTCTGTAGTCGACCTCGTGCTCGAGTGGTTGGACCCGAGGGGGCGACGCAGTCCAAATCTTCTGAGGTCGACGCTCGGACCTGTCCCGCAGCGCACTGCTGACCTGGGCTTCGGGGCGGGGCCCCGTCGTGGCGACGAACGGGCCGGCCAGAAGAATAACTACATCTTCCCCAGAGCGAACGCCGCATCCGACCGACGTCGGGCGCGAGCGGCTGCTGGCCGGAGCCCTTCAGGTGGAGCGCCAGGCGAGCGAGGAGGCGAGTGAGGTTCAGCTCGCCGGTCGCAAAACGGCGCAAGGGGGCGGGCTGCGCCTTTGTCTTCTACGTGGCGCAGCTCCTGGAATCTACTGGTGGTGCCTGCGAACGGCCCTGGGAGGGGCCTCGAAAAGGCGCTACATCATCAACGACGAAACAGAAGGCTCCAGCGCCTCCATGCCGAAACTGCCAGGCGGGCCTCGCACTTGGGATTCCTTCTCATCGGCCCCTGGGCACCCCAATTGGGGTTCCTTCTCATGGGCCCCCGGTTGGGATTCGTTCTCATGGCCCCCTCCAATGGGGGATTCCTTCTCGTGGCCCCCGAACTGCGATTCCTTACCTTTGGTCCCTTACCTGGGCATCTTTCCCATGGGTCCTCCACTTGGGATTCCTTCTCCCAGGACTGCCCGTCGGGATTCCCTTTCAGGACGCCTGCAGATTGGGATTCCTTCTCACGGGCCCCAAGTTGGGATTCCCTCAACTGCGCTCCGAGCTGGGACTCCCTCGTGGGGCGCATCTGCGACACCAGCACGCCAGACCTCCGCCCGCGCGCGCGCGCCCAGCTGCGCAGCGAGGTGGCGCCTCGGGCGCGGAGCGATCCCCACGCCAGGCGCGGAGCGCGGCTCCCCCCGCGCGGGGACCCCGCCCTGGCGAAAGGTGCCCCGACGCGCAGCGAGGGCCCACCAGAGCCCTGGAGCGAGGCCCACGCCAGTCGCGGAGTGAGGCCCCCGCGGGTGCGGCGCACGGCGCCCCCCCCTCCGAAGGGGGCCGCGCGGGGGCGGGGGCGGAGGGAAGGAGCGACGCGAGGTCTGGGCGGCGCGAGCGCTGCGCTCGAGCATGCCGCCCCCAGCGATCCTGACGAGCGGGTGTGATGGGTGCGCGCTGTTTCAAGAAAGTCCCCCTCCTCGTTCTCCTCGTCCTTCTCGCCTTCTTCTTCGCCCTCCTCCTCTTCCTCCTATACCCTTCTCCCAGTCAACGACAAAGGGTTCAGCGCGAGCAGCGGGAAGGGAGGATGACCACCCAAAAATCTGCCCCCCCCTCCCTCTGTCCTCCCCCTCCTCCTGCCCGCCCCTCATCACCACGCACGAAACATTCAAACACGTCCTAACATGTCCTCGAGCCGCGATCCCCCATCCTCCGCGATCCTCGATCGTCAACAACAAGTGGCAACCCTCTAAGTGCCCCCCCCCCCGTGGCCCTGCCTGAGTGGCGTTCTCACGGTCCCAAGTTCCCAGGGCCAATTTTTCGTTCTTCGTCTGTCCCAAGGACCAGGGGACGGCCCAGGGAGCTCGAGAACGGCGAAAGGCCTTCAAGACCCTTTCCCTCTCCAGGGTCTTTTCTGAATGGCGACCTGCCCTTCTCCTCTACCCGACCTGCCCTGGAAACTCTGAGCAACTCATCAATTGTGGACATCACTTTGGGCTCGGGGCATCTCTTGCCTCAGCCAGCCTTCTGCCAGCGGAAGCTCCGAGGAGTAGGAGGATGAGGAGGGGGAGGAGGAATGCAGGAAAAGGAGGAGGAGGAGGAGGAGGAGGAGGAGGAGGAGGAGGGGAAGGAGGAGGAGGAGGAGGAGGAGGAGGAGGAGGAGGAGGAGGAGGAGGAGGAGGAGGAGGAGGAGGACTTTCTCTACACGTCGTTCATTTCTAATCGTGTTCATTTCCAATTGTGCTCGTTTCTAATTGTTCCTGGCCCCGGGTGGCCAGGAAGACGTCCAGGATAGAGCAATTAGACATGAAAAGGATCTTGGCCCCCAAAAAATCAAAGAATTTTCGAATTCTTAGAAATGAGCAATGTGTACTCCTGCCGCGCAACCGCCGCCCTCGGCAGAGAAGAAGAAGAGGAAAGCGACTGCTCGATGCACTGGAAGCGTGGCCCCTCTCCCCACAGGCCTTGTACAGCAGGCCCGGGTCCCGCTCGTCCAGGCACAGCGCCCTCGTCAGGTCGGCCTCGGCGCGGTCGTGCAGCCCCTGCTCGAATAGGCACTGGGAGCGGCTTTGCTGCCAAGCGCTCCTCGTCCTCCTCGACGTCGTCTTCGTCGCCGCTATCAGCGTCATCGTCGTTGTCTTCGTCGCCGCTGTCGTCGTCGTCCTCCTCCTCCTCCTCCTCCTCCTCCTCCTTCTGCTCCTCATCTGCCCCCTCCTCTACCTTCACCTACCACGTTTTGCCCCCGACGCTCGCGGACCGATGAGGGGAGATTTTGGACGCCTTCGACAGCTTTTCTGGGCCTCCCGGAGCCTCCGGGGGTCTGGATCTGGAGCCGGCACGGTCCTGCACGAACTGCGGGTGCTTCGGCAGAGCCCGCTGTCGTGGGCTTGGAGCTCCGAGGGATCAAATTCTGAAGTTTATGGGCCTACTTTTTTGATTCAAGAAGTTTATGGGTCTACTTTTTATGGGTCTAGTTTTTGGGTCTACTTTTTATGGGTACTTTATGAAGTTTATGATCAAATTCTATGCTACTTATGGGTACTACCTTATGACCAAATTCTGAAGTTTATGGGTCTACTTTTTATGGGTCTCTTTTTTTCAGTTTCTGAGCTAGAAAGATGGAAGGCGGTTGATTTTCAAAGCGTGGCCCTCGTCCCAATGGCAGGCCCACCAGGCGTTCGCCTTTCAAGGGGGCGCTCGTCGCAGTGACCAGGAACTCTCGTATAGAATTGTGAGGAGGGGACTTGGGGCTGGACGGTGCATATTGCAACATCGTTGATGTACGTGGGGTTACTCTTGTCCTCCTCCTCCTCCTCCTCCTCGCCCTCCTCCCCTAGGAGCTCTGCAAACGCTTGCAGCACACGCATTGAGAAAGAGTCGGAAAACGCAAACGCTCCCAGAACAAGCTGCGAGTTCCAGGAGGCTGCTGCGGCGCTGCCTGCCCAGCAGCCGTGGAGAGGAGCTGGCTTAGCTCTGCCTGCCGGCTTCTTCTCTAAACAACCCTCCTCCTCCTCCTCTTCCTCCTCCTTCTCCTCCATTCCTTTTCCTCATAAAGAATTTCTCCCTGTCGCACCCCGAGGCCTGTTTTTACGGCGGGCCGGGCGTTCGCCTGATACTTCCTCACAGTGTATGACCCTGAAGCTTCAAACGATTGGTTTTCAAAATGTGGCTCTCACCTTAATGTCGTGTGCAGTTGTTTAAAACATGTGCAGGAGTTTCACATATTGAAGGCGGGCGGTTTTCGAAATGTGGCTCTCGCCTTAACGCCGTGCACATTTTATTTTATTGTAGAAATTGGCAAGAGTTTCACGGATTGGGGGCGGGCCGTTTTCAAAATGTGGCTCTCGCCTTAGCGCCGCGCAAATTTCTCTAAGCATTGCAAGTGTTTGACGGATGGAGGGCGGGTCGTTTTCAAAGTGTGGCTCTCGCCCTAGCGCCGCGCAACTTCCTTGTAAGCGCTTGTCAGAGAGTCACATGTTCAGGGCGGATGGTTGTCATAATGAGGCTCTCGCATTAGCGTCGCGAACATTCCTGTTGCACATCTACAACAGTTTCACGGACTGAGGGCGGTTCCTTTTTAACATGTGGCTCTCGCCTGAGCACCGCACACATTATTATTAAACATGTGCAAGAATTTCACGGGTTGAGGGTGGGTTGTTTTCAAAATGTTGCTCTCGCCTGAGCGCCGCGCACATTCGTTTCTAAACTTTGTAACATTTTCACGGATTCCCATTGTCAACGTACCAGACATGCTGTTGTGGGAAGACTCAGGATTATGAGGGTGCCACTGTTACGTTGATTCGCGGTGTTAAAGTCCCAAGAATGGCGTTCTGGCGCGACTCAGGATCGTCAAGACGCAAAAGACAAATTGATCCGTGGCGTTGGAGTCCCGAGGATAATGTTCCGGCATGCTTCAGGGTCTTCAAACTGTTGGCTTCCAACTAGGCAGTTCCTCCAGTGGAGATGAACTGTTGCATGGGCCTCTGAACATGGAGCTTGGAGGGAAGGTTCATTCCAACATCGTTGTGATGACTCTTGGGTTTCCACTGATCCTCCTCCTCCTCCTCCTCCTCCTCCTCCTCCTCCCTCCCTCCCTCCCTCCCTCCATATCTCCCTCCTCCCTCCTCCTCCTCCTCCTCCTCCTCCTCCTCCTCCTCCTCCTCCCGCTCCTCCTCCTCCTCCTCCTCCTCCTCCTCCCCCTCCTCCTCCTCCTCCTCCTCCCTCTCCTCCTCCTCCTCCTCCCGCTCCTCCTCCTTCGGCGAGGAGTGTGCGGCAAGCGGCGCTCAAAAGGGAGGCGGGCGATCGGAGGGCGGTTCTGTCTGCCTGCGGGGGCCTCTCCCGGCGAGAGGCTCTCTCGTCGCCACGGACGGGCCGTACTCTCGACGTGGCAGCGCTGGGCTCCTCCTCCACGGGGAGGGGAGCACCCGGAGGCGGGAGGTCGACGCGGCGCGCTGGGCTCCTCCTCCACGGGGAGGGCAGAGGAGAGGTTTTGTGGGGGTCTCCGGCGGGCTCTGAGCGGGGCTCGGAAGGTTCGGGGGGGGCTCGAAGAGACCCAGACCTCCGATGACGTGTTTTTGTCCACAGCGTGGCTGCGCCGAGGTCTCGACCTCTTCCCGGGGGACCAACTTCTCGTCTCTTGACGATCCCCAGGGCCTGGTGAAGGCTCCCCGACGTCGAAATGGTCAAAGCCTTCAGTCGAACGGTGGGGGCTCGACATGGTCAAGACCCCGATCGCGTTCCGCTAGACATGCTCAAAACCCCGACAGCGTTCCGCTAGAGATGGTCAACACCCCGATAACGTTCCGCCAGAACCCGACGCTAGAAATGGTCAAAACCCCGACAGCGCTCCGCCGGAACCTGACGCCGAAACGGTCAAGACCCCGATAGCGTTCCGCTAAGAGAGGGCTCTCGTGGTGCCAAGAGCCCCACGGAGGGGACGGGGAGCCCGGGACCGCCCGGGTCGGCAGCACAATTTCGCCCGAGACCTCCCCGCAAAAATTGTTCGGGACTTGTGTGCTCTCCCCGCTCCTCCTCCTCCTCCTCCTCCTCCTCCTCCTCCTCCTCCTCCTCCCCCCCTCCTCCCCCTCCTCCCCCTCCTCCTCCTCCTCCTCCTCCTCCTCCTCCTCCTCCTCCTCCTCCTCCTCCTCCTCCTCCCCCTCCTCCTCCGCTGCCGGTTGCATTGTCTGGGCCAGGCGGCCACGATCCCTGGAAACAGATGCAGTCGGACTCGATTGGGCAGGACACGCGAGGACACACGACCTTTCCGAGGGCCACGTTGCCACAGGAATTGTGGGAGCCATGGGTCGCGAGACGCAGGACACAAGGGCACCCTTGATTTGGCAGGGTCGGCCTACTGATCTGGGCCGACTGTGCACTGAGATGCACATGGCCGTGCCCCTCGCCCCTGTCCCCGCTGCATCTCTTTGGTCTTCAGGGTTTCCTGGCCTTGCTTCTCCCACTTCTCGACTCGCCTCTTGACCTTTGCTGCTACTAGGATGCTTTGCTGGGGTATTTTTTTCACGACGCGAGGATGTTAGCCAGAGGCCTCCCAGAGAGAGTCCGAGTAGATGGGGTCGGATAATCTCGCCGCATCGCCGATGCATCGGCGACGTCGGCGTGGAGAAAGTCGGGCTCCACATCGAGGCGCATCGGCGAGGCATCGGCGATGCGGCGCGACCCTCCGACCCAGTCTGCTTCGACCCCATCTGGGAGGCCTGGAGCTGGGGGAACCAAGGGGGCGGCTGTTAGGGGCGAGGTGGGCGGTCGGGCCGCCTCGCCGCTCGCAGCAGGCGGGGCACCCTGGGCACTCGTGCGGGCCCGCGCCGAGCGCGCCCGCACTCCTCGTCGCCGCTGCCCCGTGGGCGCCTCCCTCGCCCCCCAAGGCTCCGCCTACTCGCAGCGGGTGCCCTGCCCCGTGAAGAATCGCCAATACGCCTCCAGAGGCCTTCCGAAACGGGATCCCAGCAGGCCGGGTCGGAGGATGCCGCCGCATCGGCGATGCGCCGGCGACGTCGGAGAATGCATCGGTGCCGTCGGCGTGGAGAGAATCGGCCTACGCATCGAGCTGCGTCGCACCGTAGCGCCGATGCATCGGCGATGCGGCGCGATGCTCCGACCCCCTCTGCTGGGCTCCATTTTGGGGGGCCACCGGCCTCGCTGGTCAGGCAGTTCTCGCGAAAGCTCACCAGCCGGGGCGACAGGCGCGCCCACCACTCCCTGGTGTTGGACGGCGTGATCTCGTCCCACTCGTTGACCACCACCATCGGGAAGCCATAGCGGACCAAATCGTCGTAGGCGCTGTACGGGCCGCGCCTGGCTATGGGGATTGTGAGCACCCACAGCGCCTCGGTCTGCTTGGGAGTCTGCACGCCGCAGCCGTTGGGCGTCATCAGAAACTTGAACTGGGCGAGCGTGCTCCACCATTCCACGGGCTCGACGGGGTCTGAGTTCACTCCGCCAGCCCGCGCCGCGGCAGTTCTGCTCCACTCCTTCGCCTGGAGCCTCAGCCATTGGCCCTCCCCCCAGCCCCTCTTGCAGTTCGCCAGGTCGTGATAGAAACTGAACGAGCCCTTGACCTCCCCTGGCTTGTTCTCGATGCTCGCGCTCGCTACAGCGGCAGCGGCGTGCTCGGCAACGCCGTTGCGGAGGAAAAACTCGGTGAAGCCAATCGGCATGGTCTCAACGCCCTTCACGTCCATATCCTTGGCCTCGAAAAAGATACGATCAAAATACTTCCGCAACTTCCTGACCTTTTCCTCAACCTGCGGCCTGATTTTGTTACGCCGCTGGTCGTATACCTCGGCAGCTCGTTGATCCAGGGGCTCGAACTCGTTGGGATTTCGCCCAGGAGATCCGAAGACGTCAGAAAACCAGGCGTCGCCGTTCATCACCAATACTCGGTCGGTCCTGTTCGGGTCCCAGTGTAACATTTCCTCCATCACCATGCCCAGCAATGAAGAGCCAATCCATACTGTATGCGGGTCGGCAATCTTTTTGTGCTCGAACTGCTCACCTCCCATACGGGCCCAATCAAACCGGTCCATGACACTAGGCAGTCGGGTTGCTGTCGATGCAGGGAAGAAGTGCCTGCCAGCCTCCTTGGTGTGCCGAGAGAAGGGGTCGAGATCCCACCAGCCCTGTGGGCGAATGTGGCTTGGTGGGTCAGCTCGTCCAGGACACCCTCTTCCCCTTCGGGCGGAGTGGGGAGTCACTCCTTCCCCGCCCCATCCCCCCTCCCCTAGGTCTGGGCGCCGACCCCCCCCCCCCCTCCCGCGAGATGGCAGAGGGTCCGTCTGGGTTCAACATGGTCGCATGATGGCCCCAGGTACCTCACGGTTTCCTCCAAGATGGCGCAAGACCGTCAAAATTGAACCAGAAGCCATGAGATGCCCTCAAGACGTCCCCAAAGGGCATCAAAGCCTCCCACGGATTCCCGGAAGCAGAAAACGTCAAGCTTATCAGTGGTTTCAGAGATTTGCGATACTTTCAATTTCGCGTCTGATGAGCTCCTTGAAGCCTCAAGGTGGTATCCCCCAAACGGTCCCTCCAAAGGCAGGCACCAGAGACCAGCCTACGCGCACCCGTGGAGGTCACCCAGGGGTACTCCCACTAGCCATTGAGGGCGCATGTGGTGTAGAGCGCTTCCTCTCTCACCCCACTCTTCCCCTTCGGGGAAAGGTTTCCCCCCTCCCCCGCCCCCCCCTCCCCCTGACTCTGGACGGCCCGCCACGCGACCGATCAGAGCGTCCAACATGCCTCCAAAGATGGCCATCGACACCTCACTGTGACCTCCAAGATGGCTTGACAGGTCCCGCGTGGCTCGAGATGTGCTCCAAGGTGCCTCCAGGAGGCCCTCGGACAGCTCCAAGACGGCTTCAAGTGTCCACGGAGATTTCCAAGGACCCCCTTAACAGGCCCAACTCTTTCCAACACCTGCGGACAATTACCGTGTTTTGTCCCCTCGCCTTTTCGCTTCCGATCTGCCCTTAATGCCTCAAGATGGCTCCAAGATGGCCCGATCAAGCCCCAAGAGGGCCCCAAGAGCGCCCTAATAGGAGATCCTTGTTGCTCCGGGGGGCCGGGGCTATTGGGGGACCCCCCCTTTCGCTCGCAGCCATACCCGTGGGACAAACATGGTTGGGTTTCAAACATTTTGGCCTCTCATGTGTACCCTTGGGATGCTCTTGGGCCAACATGGCTCCACTCTGACCTCAGAGAGCCCAAGGTGGCCTCCACGATTGCCTCTTAAGATGTCCCAGCGTGGCCACCACTATGCCTCCAAGAGGCTCCAAGGCGGCTCCAAGTGGCCACGTAGCTCCCCCCAAGGAGTCCCAAGGAGGCCTCCAAGAGGCCCAAGTCCTTCCGAATCTAACCGAATCTAAGGACAACTAATGATTTGCGTCTTTTCACCTTCTTGGCGTCCGAAGCGCTTTTGAGGCCTCAAGATGGCTCTAAGATGCCCGAAGGCGGCCCCAAGACACGCTCAAGAGGGCCCTAAAACGATCCCAAGAGCGCCCCATGAGGAAATCTTTCGGGTCCCAGGGGGGCAGGGCTAATTGACCACCCCATTCTTTGGAGGTCGATTACCTCCAAGATGACCCCAAGAGCGCCCCCAAGGCGGCCGCCAAGAGGGGCCCCAAGAGAGCCACAAAAAGTCCCCAAATGGGGCCTGATAGAGCCTCGAAGGGCAAGATTGCCCAAGTAAGGTGCCAACAGACGCCCATACCGAAAGGTCCGCGACGGCATTCATGATTGACTCCTGGGCCTGCTCAAGCAAATCCAGATCTTCGGTTTGCTCTGCGTGCTCCCACACTTCTGGGATCAATGCAACTCGAATGGGCACCGTTGCTGGATGGGCTGGTGGAAATACTTTTTAGTCAGCGGCCGCAGGCGAGTGCGCCAGCGGCGAGTCCAGTCAGAGCGGGCCGCGCAAAGACCACTGGTGGAGATACTTTTTTTGGGCGCGGCCGCAAGCGAAGGCGCAGGCGGCGGGTCGGTACTGGTGGAGATACTTTTTTCGGTCGCGTCCGCGAGCGAAGGCGCAGGCGGAGTCAGAAGCGTTCCGGGGCGCGGTAACGGCCTAATTAGCTACTGGGAGCGCCGCAGGCCAGCCGGGCTCACTCACCAAGCAGCTGCTGTGCTGCGCGGAAAAGCTGACAGGAAGAACTAGTGGAGATACTTTTCGGTCGCGTCCGCCAGCGAAGGCGCTAGCGGAGTCAGAAGCGCTCCGGGACACGGAAGCGGCCTAATTAGCTACTAAACGCGCCGCAGGCCGGCCGGGCCCACTCACCAAGCAGCGGCAGGCTGCGCGGGGGAGAGGGCGCGCTGACGCGAAGCGTCAAGAATTTGTCTGCCTCCGACAAAGGACCCTACTTGGGTCCCCCGTTTTCGATCGATGGTCTCCGAGCGCGTTCCATGAGGGCCCGAGAGCCTTCCAACAGAGCCCCAAGAGAGTTCCATATGCCTCGCGAAGCGCCCCAAGAGAGGCCCAATAAAGCTCCAATAAGCGAATGCCTTTATGGCTAACTCCTGCTCTTTTGCTCCGCTCCGCTATCACGAACGAGCCAGGAATCAGCCATACGGGCGCTCCTGCAGGAGTTCCTTCAAATGACCGAAGGAGACGCGCAAGGGGGAGTGTGCAGGCGATAGGGGGGTCACCCTTCCTGTTCGAGCCACTGTGCGCTCCTGCTCTTCGTGGAGCAGGGCAAATCGCCGATGAATCCTTGCTGGAAGGGCTGGCGGGGACACGCGAAGCGGCAATAATTGTTGAATCGCGTGACGGGGAAGTAGTCGATGAACTCCTGATACTGTGCTGGGCTGAACGAGGCGTTCGTCTGCAGGGCTGCGAGGTGCTCGACGAAGCCCTGGTGCTGCGACCTCGTCGCGAGGAGGACGGAAGAGCAAGAAGGAGGAGGAGGAGGAGACGGAGGAGGAGGAGGGCGGAGGAGGAGGAGGAGGAGGAGGAGGAGGAGGAGGAGGAGGAGGAGGAGGAGGAGGACGAGGAGGAGGAGGAGGAGGAGGACGGAGGAGGACGGAGGAGCAGGGAAGAGGGAGGAGACGAGAGGCGAAGAGCGGAGAGGGAAGGGGGGGGATGAGACGAAGGCGGGGGTCCTCTCGTCCTTATCATCTTCCTCCTGGGACCCTTCCACCACCTGCACCCCCCCTGGAGGCAGGCCAAGCCAGTCGTCCAGTCTTCGACCCTTCCGCCCCTGCGTGCTGCGACCTCGTCGCTGGCAGAGCCTCCTCCGGCGAGTTCCCAGCGCCCAGCGTCAGGGACTCGGCTCCTCGCGCCAGCAGCCAGAGCGCCAGGAGGCGGACGCGCCTCATGGTTCGGGCAGGCCACGACGGGCCTTGCGTTACGGAGGCCGGGGCATAGTGCCACCCTTAGCCGAGACGTGTGCAGCGTGGGCATGGGGGACTGGATGAGCAGGCAGGAGGACGAGGATGAGGACGAGCAGGAGGACCAGGAGGGCCTGCAGTACACGGCTCGTCTGAGCCCTCGCCCACTTGGCGCGACAGCGCGAGAACTCTACTCGCAGGATGGAGACGAAGACGACGACGATGATGACGGTGCTGATGATGACGATGATGATGGTGATGCTGCTGCTGATGATGACGGTGATGATGATGATGCGGCTGACGATGATGATGCTGATGATGATGAGGATGATGATGGTGATGGTGACAATGATGATGATGCTGACGACGATGATGATGCTGCTGATGATGATTATGATGATGATGATGATGATGATGACGATGCTGACGGTGATGATGATGCTGATGATGCTGGTGGTGGTGATGAAGGTGATGTTGATGTTGCTGCTGCTGCTGCTGCTGCTGATGATGATGATGATGATGATGATGATAATGATGATGATGATGATGAGGATGATGATGATGGCGATGGTTAAGATGCCGATGTTGCTGCTGATGATGGTGTTGGTGATCGTGATGGTGATGGTGGTGGTAGTGGTGCTGGTGGTACTGCTGCTGCTGCTGATGCCGCTGCTGCTGCTGCTGCTGATGATGATGGTAATGACGACGATGACGAGGAAACTTAGGAAGATGATGATAAGGATGATGAAGCGGAAAAGGCAATGCAAGTAGAAATGTATGACGACAAAACGGGCCAGGCGGACGACGAGGAGTGAGAAATGAGGGAGGGCAACGGGGGAAGGGTGGAGGCAGAGGGAAGGACGGCGGGGTGGCGTCAGGAGGAGGCGAGGAAGAGGGTAGGAAGGAGAGAGGCAGGGAGGAGGATGGGGCATGAGAAGGTAGGAGTGTCAGGGGGGACGGTGGCGGGGGGAAAAGAGCAGAGGGAAGAGAGGTGGTGTGCGAGAAGGACTGGCAACATCCACAATCGTGCGTGAGCAACACCGCCGCCCATTTACCAAGCGCGCAGTGACGGATTTCTAGCCGACGCCGAAATACACCACCATGCCTTCATCACATAGTTGAGTGTCCCAGCTCATACACATGACAATGCGACACAAATGCTTTAGGCTTCTCCGAAGTCAAAACCACCATGCCGCTGGAACTCATGAGCGCTTCTGCCGTTCCTGCCGTGGGCCTCTGGGAAGCAAACTGACTCCAACATCCCCCACCAACATTCCTACATGAAGCTGAAGTAGGCTCGGGAACTCTCGGAAGCCCCAAGGGAACGTCCTGAGGCTCCCTCGAAGGCCTACTGTGCCGTCTTGGAAAGAGACACGTGGCATGGGGAGGGAAGCGGGAGACGAAGGAAAGACTGAAGAGGACAGTGAGGTGAAAGCCGCTCGAAGATGTTGAGGCTTGGGTGCCCCCTTGTATGTGATCGAAACACTACAGCTAAGGGCGTCATGCTCCAATTTCACCTCCCACATCTCGGTGAACAACAGGCTGCTGGTTTGTCTCGCACGCACTGGTCCGAGTCTAGTCTGCGATACCGCCTTTGCGCAGCAGGGCGACGATCGAAAGGCTTTAGCTGCTTCGTCGCCCACATCTCGCTGGGCAGTGACAAGCCTCGCTGCTGCTGCTTTCCTTTCTCGCACGCGCTGCTTCCAGCGGTGAAGCTGATGACATCGGGGTCCACCTTCGCCTTCAACATCTTGCAGGGTGGCGCCAAAACTGATCGCCCTTCTCTCCCCAGGGGCTC